TCGGGGGAGAAGGGCCTTGGTCACTCTGACAGAGCTCCAGAGTTCCTCTGTGGAGATGGGAGAACCTTCCAGAAGGACAACCATCTCTGCAGCACTCCACCAATCAGGCCTTTATGGTATGGTGGAGACGGAAGCCACTCCTCTGTAAAAGGCACGACAGCCCGCTTGGAGTTTTCCAAAAGGCACCTTAAGACTCTCAGACCATGAGAAACAAGATTCTCTGGTCTGATGAAACCAAGATTGAACTCTTCAGCATGAATGCCAAGCATCACGTCTGGAGGAAACCTGGCACCATCCCTTCGGTGAAGCATTGTGGTGGAAGCATCATGCTGTGGGGATGTTTTTCAGCGGCAGGGACTGGGAGACTAGTCAGGATCGAGGCAAAGATGAACGTAGCAAAGTACAGAGAGATCTTTGATGAAAACCTGCTCCAGAGCGGGGCGAAGGTTCGCCTTCCAACAGGACAACGATCCTAAGCACACGGTCAAGACAACGCAGGAATGGTTTCGGGACAAATCTCTGAATGTCCTTGAGTGGCCCAGCCAGAGCCCGGACTTCAACCCGATCGAACATCTCTGGAGAGACCTGAAAAAAGCTGTGCAGCGACGCTCCCCATCCAACCTGACAGAGCTTGAGACGATCTGCAGAGAAGAATGAGAGAAACTCTCCAAATACAGGTGTGCCAAGCTTGTAGCGTCATACCCACGAAGACTCAAGGCTGTAATCGCTGCCAAAGGTGCTTCAACAAAGTATTGAGTAAATGGTCTGAATACTTACCTAAATGTGATCAATAAATTAAACCTTGTTGTGCTTTGTCATTATGGGGTATTGTATGTAGATTGATGAGGTAAAAAACAATGTAATACATTTTAGAATAAGGCTGTAACGTAACAAAATTAGGAAAAAGTCAAGGGGTCTGAATACTTTCCGAATGCACTGTATATAACACAATACACAGGGCATGACATAAAACAAAGAGGCATCATCAGAGAGGCAGTTTTACACTCCTTGATCTCTAAAATGGCATCGACATCTCAGATCATAAAAGCTTACTGTCATATAATATCAAATATCAGCAAGGGGTGTGTGTGTGAGTGGATTCTAATGTCAGAGTTAAACGGTGATGGGAGGTCTTCATTTCCTGAATCCGTTTGCTCCAACAGCTGGAAGGAAAGAGAGGAGAGAGCTCCGCACAATGGCTCTACAGTAGGCTTCTTTTCCTTTGTGTGTGTGTGTGTGTGTGTGTGTGTGAGTGTGTGTGTATGTGTATGTGATGTGGTGATTTCTACCGGGGTGGTATAGGTCTGATTCTTGTTTAGGGGAGACATCTTTGAGTGGGTCTCTCTCACACACACACAGAGCTTGCTTTGTCATGTGGTCTGTGCCGTGTGTGTGCCGTCATGTGGTGGGGATTATTAGTCTCCGATATCAGACGCAGGCACGCGGGTCCTTTACCCTCTCCAGCCAACTCTTCCACCCATCAGAGAATAAGGAGGTTCTAATCAGGACCACAGCCTGGCTGGGTTTACACACTGACGTTTCAACAGTCTCTTCCCCTCGCCCACACTCAACTACCAGGAGAGGACATGATGGTTCCCACATGGCCAACTCTGCCCACACTCAACTACCAGGAGAGGACATGATGGTTCCCACATGGCCAACTCTGCCCACACTCAACTACCAGGAGAGGACATGATGGTTCCCACATGGCCCACACTCAACTACCAGGAGAGGACATGATGGTTCCCACATGGCCAACTCTGCTTCCCCTCGCCCCCACTCAACTACCAGGAGAGGACATGATGGTTCCCACATGGCCAACTCTGCGTGTGTGTTGTGTTGTTTGTGTGCGTGTTTCCACATGGATAACTGTCCTATTAAACAGTCACTTGGTTAGATTTTCTATACGCTAAACAGTATTACTCACAATATTAAAATGCAGGATCATTTATTTTCACCATGTCCAAGAAAATAGCATCCATCATAGAATTACGTATAGAACACTAGAATGGACATTGGTATCCTAGCATTATGACAAACAATCGTCCATCTTGGTCAGGAAAACTTGATAAAGGAGCTGATCAAATATGTTAAGATGCAAAACAAAACAATGTATTTGTAGAAACATTCAATTGTCAGATCTCTATTGTTCCATTATCCAAGCAGATTTGGAAAAAACAGTACGATAATGCATTGGGCACCATGCAATCAATACATGCAGTACCCCCATTCAAGAGGCACTTCCACACATCCCAAATAGAACACTATTACCTATCTAGTGCACTCTATGGGCCCTGGTCAAAAGCAGTGCAGAAAATAGGAGATAGGGTACCATTTGGGAAGCAAACCTGGCTCCTCAGCAGACAAAATAAGTGTCCCATAGCGCTTTATAGACTTGTAATGACCTGCACATAGATAACATGATGATAGCTTCATACTAGAAGCACTCAGCGGATCCTTAATGTAGAGTCCCAAATGGCACCCTATTCCCTACATAGCACACTACTTTTAACCAATGGCAGTGTACTATATAGGGAATAGGGTGCTATTAGAGTCGTGGCCTTAGTTCCAACACCAAGCCACTCTGAAATCCATTTACTATCTATTGATGAGATGGATGTGTAGCCTGGTGCTGACAGGACAACTACATTATGAACTAGATGTGTAGCCTAGTGCTGACAAGACAACTACATGATGAACTGGATGTGTAGCCTAGTGCTGACAGGACAACTACATTATGAACTGGATGTGTAGCCTGGTGCTGACAGGACAACTACATGATGAACTGGATGTGTAGCCTAGTGCTGACAGGACAACTACATGATGAACTGGATGTGTAGCCTAGTGCTGACAGGACAACTACATTATGAACTGGATGTGTAGCCTAGTGCTGACAAGACAACTACATGATGAACTGGATGTGTAGCCTAGTGCTGACAGGACAACTACATGATGAACTGGATGTGTAGCCTGGTGCTGACAGGACAACTACATTATAAACTGGATGTGTAGCCTGGTGCTGACAGGACAACTACATTATGAACTGGATGTGTAGCCTGGTGCTGACAGGACAACTACATTATGAACTGGATGTGTAGCCTGGTGCTGACAGGACAACTACATTATGAACTGGATGTGTAGCCTGGTGCTGACAGGACAACTACATGATGAACTGGATGTGTAGCCTGGTGCTGACAGGACAACTACATTATGAACTGGATGTGTAGCCTGGTGCTGACAGGACAACTACATTATAAACTGGATGTGTAGCCTGGTGCTGACAGGACAACTACATTATGAACTGGATGTGTAGCCTGGTGCTGACAGGACACTACATTATGAACTAGATGTGTAGCCTAGTGCTGACAAGACAACTACATGATGAACTGGATGTGTAGCCTGGTGCTGACAGGACAACTACATTATGAACTGGATGTGTAGCCTGGTGCTGACAGGACAACTACATTATAAACTGGATGTGTAGCCTGGTGCTGACAGGACAACTACATTATGAACTGGATGTGTAGCCTGGTGCTGACAAGACAACTACATTATGAACTGGATGTGTAGCCTGGTGCTGACAGGACAACTACATGATGAACTGGATGTGTAGCCTGGTGCTGACAGGTCAACTACATGATGAACTGGATGTGTAGCCTGGTGCTGACAAGACAACTACATTATGAACTGGATGTGTAGCCTGGTGCTGACAGGACAACTACATTATGAACTGGATGTGTAGCCTAGTGCTGACAAGACAACTACATTATGAACTGGATGTGTAGCCTGGTGCTGACAGGACAACTACATGATGAACTGGATGTGTAGCCTGGTGCTGACAGGACAACTACATGATGAATGGTCTTCTCCACGATAAGGGTGTTAGACAGCTGCTGTACAGTACAGTCAACATGGCTAACGCATGTCTATTTCATAATGACCTCATAGTATAGGCAAAGCAAAAAGCTTCCCTTTCAGTAACTGAATGTAGAGATCTGCAAAGTGATTACACACACACACACAAAGTGATCACACACACACACAAAGTGATCACACACACACAAAGTGATCACACACACACAAAGTGATCACACACTCCCATCTCCACAGAGGAACTCTAGAGCTCTGTCAGAGTGACCATCGGGTTCTTGGCCACCTTCCTGACCAAGGCCCTGACCAAGGTTTGTCCGGGCAGCCAGCTCTAGGAAGAGTCTTGGTGGTTCCAAACTTCTTCCATTTAAGAATGATGGAGGCCACTGTGTTCTTGTGGACCTTCAATGCAGCAGACATTTTTTGGTACCCTTCCCCAGATCTGTGCCTCGACACAATCCTGTCTCGGAGCTCTACGTACAATTCCTTCGACCTCATGGCTTGGTTTTTGCTCTGACATGCACCGTCAACTGTGTACCTTTCCAAATCATGTCCAATCAATTGAATTTACCACAGATGGACTCTAATCAAGTTGTAAAAACATCTCAAGAATGATCAATGGAAACAGGATGCACCATAGCTCAATTTCGAGTCTCATAGCAAAGGGTCTAAATACTTAGGTAAATAAGGTATTTCTGTTTTATAGATTTAATACATTTGCAAAAAAATTTTTTACCTGTTTTAGCTTTGTCATTATGAGGTATTGTGTGTAGGATTTTTGAGGATTTTTTATATTTTTTATCCATTTTAGAATAAGGCTGTAATGTAACAAAATGTGGAAAAAGTCAAGGGGTCTGAATACTTACCCCCCCCCCCCCCCACCAAAACAGGCAGAAATCTTTTCACTAAAAGGGCATGACCATCTTTTTCACAATTTCACAGTATTATTCCAACCTCATAGTGTGGAAATATATATAAAACACAGGAAAAATCACGTTTTTGACTGCACTGGGCCTTTAAAAGTACTCTGAAAGATATAACTTTCGTCTTTATTCATGCAGTAAAAATAACATTGAATAACACAAGTTAATGTCCTATTATGCATGAAACTTTCAAAAGACCATTCGCTACAAGTAGGTGTAGGTGTTTGAGTACGTACCCAGTACGTTTCCTGACGGCACCTCTTCTAGTTCCTCCAGCTCTCGGCCCATCAGCAGGTAGAGGCTGTCCATGGTGCAGCAGGCCAGGTGAGGGACAGGAGGGAGACAGTCACTCACACTAGTACTGCCCTCTGGGAGCTGACAGAGAGGGGGAGAGAGAGAGGAGAGGAAGATGGAGGGGAGAGAGAGAGAGAGACATAGAGAGAGAGAGAGAGAGAGACATAGAGAGAGAGAGAGAGAGAGAGAGAGAGAGAGAGAGAGAGAGAGAGAGAGAGAGAGAGAGAGAGAGAGAGAGAGAGAGAGAGAGAGAGAGAGAGAGAGCACAAAGTAAAATGCAGTGCTATCTGGCCCTAAATCGACAGTACACCGTGGCTAACTATTTGACCATGGTTACTGATCAAAACCTTAGAAAAACCTTGACAAAGTACAGGCTTAGTGAGCACAGCCTTGCCATTGAGAAGGGTAGACACAGGAAAACCTGGCTCCCTGTAGAGGAAAGGCTGTGCAACCACTGCACCACAGCAGAACCTGAGACAGAGCTGCATTTCCTGACAAAATGTAAAAAATATAAAACAATTAGTGTGTGTCATTGATGAGAATAGGCTACCCATCCTGTTGGGGGAGTATGCAGAGAGCTGTGGGTTGGCAGCACACTACATTGCTGCCTGCCATAAGATGAGGGACAGTGTCTGACAGACCAACCAACCTGCACTGTCCTCTATATTGTTATTGTTCAATGGTTATTTTGACCCTTGGTTATTGTTGTTACTGTCGTCCCGTTGACAATATTGATTATTATTATTTTAATTATGTTAATAGTGTAAATATCCAAAGTAAGCTTTGGCAATATGTACATTGTTACATCATGCCAATAAAGTGACTTTAATTGAGAGAGAGAGAGAGAGAGAGAGCATTGTTGGTTAAGGGCTTGTAAGTAAGCATTTCACGGTAAGGTTGTATTCCTGTTGTATTCGGCGCATATGAAAAATAAAATGTGATTTGATTTGAGAAAGAAAGAAAGAGAGAGCGAAACAGAGAGAGAAAATTTGATCTCTAGAGCATTAGAGCCAATCATCCAGTACATTGGTAGTGTGATATTGGATTGGCAAAGCAATAACTATATTGTTTGTTAGTAGTACTGCTATTGGAGCCAGGAGGGACGAGGCATCAATAATAAAAGGACTCCCTATATAGTGCACTACTTTTGACCAGGCCCCAGAGGCACACAGCCCTCATCATGGAAGTCAATGGTTATCTTTAACCTTGGAACACACATCTTGAGACAGAAACAAACACGCAGAACCTTTATGATTGTTGCTCTTTGAACAAATAGCATTTGGGTTCATCTTTTGAACAGTAATTGTTTTGTCCAGGGAATATTGCAAATTGAGCAGAAAATGGGTTTTGTGCCTCTGCAGTGTGTGTGTGTGCGTGCGTATCTGCATGCCTGAGTGTGCCTGAGTGTGTGTGTGTGTGTGTGCCTGAGTGTGTGTGTGTGTGTCTGTAAGTGTGTACATCTTTACCATGCGCAGGCCTTGTGCAGGGTCGTACTTGGGCCCCAGCACAAACACCTTCTGTCCTCTACGGACCACCCCGCTGTAGACTCTGGCGAAGGCTACAAACGTCTCCTTCCCCTCCTCCTCCGGTTTAGCCTTCAGAGGCAGGGCCTTCATCTGGCCTGAGACACCCTCACTACCTGCATGTCAAGGAAGACAATGGAGACACACACATTGGTATCAGTGGTATCATCATGAAGATAGTGGTTATTGGTACTGGCCAGAGCTTCCACATTACTAGGAAAAGGCTAGGGGTTGGGGTTTAGCAAGGTACGATGGGAGGGAGGGAGGGAAAGAGATAGAGAGAGATAGAGAGAGATACAGAGAGATAGACACTTGCCTATGCTGCTGTCTCCACCAGGGGTGGTTGCCGGTGTTGTACTTCCTGAGTGGGCATTTCCCTCCCCGCTTTCCGTCTGCTGATTGGCTGCCAGTCTCTCAGTGTGTCTCTGTCTGGCCAGCTCCCTGCGCTGGGCCATCTCCTCCTGGGTCAACGGCCTGTAGACACACACACACAAACACACAAGCCAGGGTCCTCCTGTTCAGTAGGTGGAAAATGTTTTTAAAATGTTCCGTTGCAAAACGTTTTGCTACAGTGTGCCCTACTGAACACTGTCCATGGTTTGGGCCAATGACTACACATGATATTAGACATGACACATCAAAAAGAAATGTAACAACCCACTAAACCAAGTCTTTCTAGCAGGGTAGCATAGCCTAGAAGCTAGCACCGCTCTGTTTTATTTGATTCTGCCTTTATTTAACCAGAGAAGTCACATTGAGACTTACATCTCTTTGCAGCACTCCAATCTGGGATTAAAATGATTAATAGGAATAAAATGATCTAGTATCAAGCCTGTGGTTGTGGCTATGGACTGCGTCCCAAATGGCACCCTATTCCATATTTGGTACACTACTTCAAATCAAATCAAAAGTTTATTGGTCGCGTACACAGTTTTGCAGATGTTATCACAGGTGAAGCGGAATGCTTGTGTTTCTAGCTCCAACAGTGCAACAATATCTAGCAACACACACATAATCCCCAAAATTATAATAATAGAAAACAAGAAATGAAGACCTATCAGAATGAGCAATGTTAGAGTCCGGAATACATATACACTACCGGTCAAAAGTTTTACAACACCTACTCATTCAAGGGTTTTTCATAATTTTTTACTATTTTCTACATTGTAGAATAATATCGAAGACATCAAAACTATGAAATAACACAAATGGAATCACGTAGTAACCAAAAAATGGTGTTAAACAAATTCAAATATGTTTTATATTTGAGATTCTTCAAATAGCCACCCTTTGCCTTGATGACAACTTCGCACGCTCAAGGCATTCTCTCAACCAGCTTCATGAGGTAGTAACCTGGAATGCATTTCAATTAACACATGTGCCTTCTTAAAAGTTAATTTGTGGAATTTCTTTCCTTCTTAATGCGTTTGAGCCAATCAGTTGTGTTGTGACAAGGTAGGGGGGGTATACAGAAGATAGCCCTATTTGGTAAAAGACCAAGTCCATATTATGGCAAGAACAGCTCAAATAAGCAAAGAGAAACGACAGTCCATCATTTAAGACATGAAGGTCAGTCAATATGGAACATTTCAAGAACTTTGAAAGTTTCTTCAAGTGCAGTCACAAAAAACAATCAAGCGCTATGATGAAACTGGCCCTCATGAGGATCGCCACAGGAATGGAAGACCCAGAGTTACCTCTGCTGCAGAGGATAAGTTCAATAGAGTTCCAGCCTCAGAAATTGCAGCCCAAATAAATGCTTCACAGAGATCAAGTAACAGACACATCTCAACATCAACTGTTCAGAACAGACTGTGTGAATCAGGCCTTAATGGTCCAATTGCTGCAAAGAAACCACTACTAAAGGACACCAATAAGAAGAAGAGATTGTCCTTTGGTCTGGAGTCCAAACTGGAGATTTTTTGTTCCAACCGCCGTGTCTTCGTGAGACGTGGTGTTGGTGAACGGATGATCTCCGCGTGTATTTCCCACTGTAAAGCATGGAGGAGGAGGTGCGGAGGTGCTTTGCTGGTGACACTGTCTGTGATTTATTTAGAATTCAAGGCACACTTAACCAGCATGGCTACCACAGCATTCTGCAGCGACACGCCACCCCATCTGGTTTGGGCTTAGTGGGACTATCATTTGTTTTTCAACAGGACAATGACCCAACACACCTCCAGGCTGTGTAAGGGCTATTTTACCAAGAAGGAGAGTGATGGAGTGCTGCATCAGATGACCTGGCCTCCACAATCCCCCGACCTCAACCCAATTGAGATGGTTTGGGATGAGTCGGACAGCAGAGTGAAGAAAAAGCAGCCAACAAGTGCTCAGCATATGTGGGAACTCCTTCAAGACTGTTGGAAAAGCATTCCAGGTGAAGATGGTTGAAAGAATGCCAAGAGTGTGCAAAGCTGTCATCAAGCAAAAGGGTGGATATTTGAAGAATCTCAAATATAACATATATTTTGATTTGTTTAACACTTTTTTGTTTACTACATGATTCCATATGTGATTTTCATAGTTTTGATGTCTTCACTATTATTCTGCAATGTAGAAAATAGTAAAAAATAAAGAAAAACCCTTGAATTAATATATATAGTATATTTGTATATGTGAATGGTGTGCACAGACAGTATGGACAATATGTGAATAGAAAAGGTGTGTACAGCAATAGTTATATGGCACTAGGGCTCTGGTCAAAAGTAGTGCACTAGGGAATAGGGTGCCATTTGGGATGTCAGGAGGTCAGGTTTGTACCTCAAACTACCATTTCCTGTCATCACATTATGGTTAACTTCCCTCACTGAGAAACTATGTTCTAATTACCTACCGACGATGGAAAATATGCAAAGGTTAAATTTGACCAATTACGACAACATAGGTGGTGCCTCCGGGCCAAGCTGGAAAAACAGAATAACAATTACTCTAAAATTGCTCTGGTCGCCACAAACCCATGGCACGTGGGGGTGTCGTTTGAAATCGCACCCTGCAGAGTCATTGCGGTGAGTGGTGTGTGTGTGTGTGTATGTGTGTGTGAGAGAGCTTCAAAGCGACCATAGTGACTACATCGATACAGCTGGAAGCCATGATTGACAGCAGTGGCCGTCCACACAAGTTAAGCTCCCTGATGACCGACCGCTTACGCTATCCCCTAATTTTAGGTTTAGTCCGAAATGGCACCCTATTCCCTATATAGTGCACTAATTTTTACCAGGGCCCATATGGAATAGGGTGCCATTTGGGATACATCCTAAGAATAAAACAAGCTCTGCTGATTCACAATGACTATAGGGGGGGGGGCAGGTTGATTACGTTTTGTATAAATTAGACAAAAACGGGCCTAAACGAATACAGGCTTTCCAAGAAGACCGCAACATGGGAGAAATTGAACAATGTACTGTACTGAAGGACTACTTGTGGAATGCTGCTAAGCTCTGACTTCTGCTTTTAGTGTGAGTGTGACTCCTTATGCAATTTGTAACCCTACACACACACACACACACACACACACACTCTTTCGAACAACACACATACAGTGCCTTCGGAAAGTATTCAGACCCCTTGACTTTTTCCACAATTTGTTACGTTACAGCATTATTCTAAAATTGATTAAATAAATAATAATCCTCATCAATCTACACACAATACCCCATAATGACAAAGCGAAAACAGGGTTTTAGACATTTTTGCTAATGTATTAGAATTCAAAAACAGAAATACCTTATTTACATAAGTAAAAATGTCTGCAGCATTGAAGGTCCCCAAGAACACAGTGGCAACCATCTCTGCAGCACTCCACCAATCAGGCCTTTATGGTAGATTGACCAGACAGACGGAAGCCACTCCTCAGTAAAAGGCACATGACAGCCTGTTTGGAGTTTGTCAAAAGGCACCTAAAGACTCTCAGACCATGAGAAACAAGATTTTCTGGTCTGATGATAGCAAGACTGAACTCTTTGGCCTGAATGCCAAGCGTCACGTCTGGAGGTACGTCCTGGTACCATCCCTACGGTGAAGCATGGTGGTGGCAGCATCATGCTGTGGGGATGTTTTTCAGCTGCTGGGGACTGGGAGACTAGTCAGGATCGAGGCAAAGATGAACGGAGCAAAGTACAGAGAGATCCTTGATGAGAACCTGCTCCAGAGCTCAGGATCTCAGACTGGGCGAAGGTTCACCTTCCAATAGGACAACGACCCTAAGCACACAGCCAAGACAACGCAGGGGTGGCTTCGGGACAAGTCTCTGAATGTCCTTGAGTGGCCCAGACAGAGCCCGGACTTGAACCCGATCGAACATCTCTGGAGAGACCTGAAAATAGCTGTGCAGCAACGCTCCCCATCCAACCTGAAAGAGCTTGAGACTATCTGTACAGAAGAATGGGAGAAACTCCCCAAATATAGGTGTGCCAAGCTTGTAGCGTCATACCCAAGAAGACTCGAGGCTGTAATCACTGCCAAAGGTGCTTCAACAAAGTACTGAGTAAAGGGTCTGAATACATAATGCTTTGTCATTATGGGGTATTGTGTCTAGATTGATGAGGAAATAAACAAATTTTATTAACTTTAGAATAAGGCTTTAACGTAACAAAATGTGGAAAAAGTCAAGGGGTCTGGATAATTTTCCGAATGCACTGTGCATACCTGCGTGCACTGCACACACACACTCATGCAAAAGAGTTTAGTCTTGCTAGTCTCCCGAGTGGCGCAGTGGTCTAAGGCACTGCATCGCAGTGCTAGCTGTGCCACTAGAGATCCTGGTTCGAATCCAGGCTCTGTCGTAGCCGGCCGCGACTGGGAGACCCATGGGGCAGCGCACAATTGGCCCAGTGTCGTCCAGGGTAGGGGAGGGAATGGCCGGCAGGGATATAGCTCAGTTGGTAGAGCATGGCGTTTGCAACGCCAGGGTTGTGGGTTCAATTCCGATGGGGGGCCAGTATTAAAAAGAATGTATGCACTCACTAACTGTAAGTCGCTCTGGATAAGAGCGTCTGCTAAATGACAATAAAAAAAAAAATAAAAAAAAAAACACACACACACACACACACACACACACTCTCTCATCACCCTCTTATTCCATTTCACCAGAGATTCACTTATTTCCTTGACGTTCAAC